TAACTATTGAGATGAGTTCTGAACACAAATATTATTTTCCTAGTCACCTTTTTCCAATCTTCACTCATACTGATATTTTTTTATTGTATAAATAAATTTGGGACTATAACTCACAATATAGGTCCTATGATTGAATCCTGAAAATGCAACAAATTTCCTCCCACTTCAGATTTTTTTTTGTTTAGAGCTTTGAATTATAGTCCTGTAACAAAACAAAGTTAAAAACATGCTATTTGAACAAAATGTATCAATTACAAACGAGCTTTTTTTTAAGTATTATTTTTCGAAAATTTTTTTTCCGAAAAGATCCTCAATGCCTTAATCTAAATCTGTGGGATATCTTATCTTTTCAAGGAACAAATCTGTTGTATTTGCAAGGTAGTAAGGGCCTGTAAATTCATGATAGAATATTTTTCAAACAAAACATTATTCAAAAGGTCCTTTTTTTAATAGGATGAGCTGTAGACGTCAGGAGTATCTGCAGTGAAGAATGCAAGAAAACGCTTTTGGCGTCGGGAGCTTCGCCCCGAAAACCATGGGAGAGCTTATGGCGCTCACCCTGACCCCCAAGCGGTCAAGAGAAAGGCATTAACGCTCCTTTTTTTTTTTTCGCCTAAGGTTGAGAAACACTGGTTTTTTTTTAATTCTCATATTTATATTTATGCATAGGGTTAGGGTATAATGAGCGTTAGGGTTAGAGTTTGGAAAAAATCGCCCCCCCCCTCCAAAGTTCTGGATCCGCTAGTGCTCAGAAGGCAGAGTTTTTTTATTTAATAATCATGCTATCACCTTTTAAACAACTATTTTAAGGAAAAAAGCGCTAAATAACTTACTATGGACTATGCCTGTTTGGTATGCGTTCTTGACTGTTGTTTGAACCCTGCCGCCATTTTAGTAAAGATTAGTTGTAGATCAAGACGTAATAAGAATTAAATATTGACAACTCTGCCCTGTATAGGCTCTTATAACGCGTAGCAGTGTGGAGCAGCGCACTATTCAATACAAGATCTGGACGAACTGTTTAGACAAGAAAGAGCCGACAGTTGATTTCCGCCTAAATGGGTAGTCCAGAGTTATGAGAGCGATTGGACGGGTCAGCCAGGTGAGAAGCATTATAGACGATCTGTATGGCCCAGTGTGGGGTTGTATTGTCAGGGTGGTATGACGTCGGTGTCTGAGAAACAAATGGAAGAGTCGTGCCTGCAAATTGATCTAGATCTAGGAGACATTCTTAGAAGTCATTCTTCATTCTTGTCTAATGTCTTGGCTGGTGTTTTGTTTAAATTGTTAAGACAACCGTTCTTTGGGACAACTAGAAGATAGCGAGCGACCGAGACCATTCGTTTATAACACAGACTGCTAACCTTGGCTTATAGAAACGGCGATAGTGAGCATTGAAAGGAAAAGAAAATTTATCCTCAAGGTTTAAATTTTGTCTCTATGTTGTGGTCTGTGGTGTCCTCCTATCACCTCACACCTGTAAATAACAGACGTTATCTATGCTGTTAATCGTCGTCAATTTGCCTCCCTTAAAGTTATTAGGCCTACATTAGCCTATATTATATATATTATATGATTTAAGATTATGAGAAATAGCCATTTTAATTTCTGCTGACGGAAGTGACCGTTAGTCGAAGACTTAAACTTATAATTATAAACTCTAGATTCTATAGATCTAGATCTATAATGGCCATTAGAATTTTTAGAAGTCTTAATTGACTAAATCTATTCTTAAATTATACTTGTAACATTTAGAGCTGGACTAGCTATTTTTTATTATTATTATTTTTTTTAATCTTTGATTCTATCGATCGCTTGACCTGATTCATTTTGATAACGATCATTGTAGTTAAAGTGCCCCCTTTAAAAATAATAGCAAACCACATTATTTAAATTACTATTATTTTTGAAATTATACGTAAAGTATAGCAGGTAGATCTATATTACTTTGCTAGCTTATCACACGTTTATATAAAAAAAAAATGTGTATAAAAGCTTCGAACTTCATAAAGTACTGAAATCACGTGACAATCTCCAAGGAGCACGGAACTGTTTAAGTATGGTTGACAGTTTTCCTATACACGCGAACACAATTAACGGTATAAATAATAAATGAAAATGGCGGTCCAGGGTCCGTATACCCTTGATCTGGAGAACCAAAAGAAAAACATTTTTGTCACACAATTACATGACCGGTAAGATAAACTAATACCGTTAAATTGAAGCTTTTGAGATAAAAAAAAATCTTACACTACTTACTGTGACTTACTTACTACAGTAAAATTAGTAGATCTAATTACTAATAAATGAGTATAAAAATAATCAATCAATGCAAGCTCCACTTTCCAGCTTTCCCTTCTCCCTTTCTCAGAAAGTCAGAATTTGACTTTGCAGCCTGAGCATCATACAAACTTTAAAATGATAAGAAATTTTAATCTGTATGATATATATCATTTGTATAGGCCCTATCACAGTTCTATGTCTAAATAGTTGATCTTTAAATTCTATTTTGCTTCTTCTTAATAACCCCTAAAAATAGCAAATGTAAATAATAATTCTTTGTTGTTAAAAGTCAAAATCTAAATTTTAAATAGAGTAACTCAGTAAGTGAAAATTCAAGTTATAAAATGTATTACATGTTTCGGATGTTCCTTCAGAGTTGAAGATAATTACTTCTTAGTCCAAACCTCCCGCAGGACGATGGGGGATGGGAGCGGGCAGGGTTTGAATCCTCGACCATCGATAAATCTGAACGACAGTCCAGCGCGCAAACCGCACGACCAGGCAGCCATCCTAATATAGGCCTAGATTACTAGACTCTAGATAAGATTTTTTTTTACCAGATTTTTTAATTAGAAATTATAATAATATAAAGGGATATTTAATTACATAAAAAGTTACTAATACTAATATAGTTCAACTAGATCTAGAATTTTTTTTTCAGTATATAGTAATTTATATTTCCAGTCCTAGACTCTAAATAGACTTATGTTTTCTAGATCTAAACAGAGAATGTTTTGTAGTAGCAAACAAAATGAAGAGATTAAAACAGTAAAATTCCAGAAATAGAAAAAGTTACAAATTGAACCTCATAAAAAAGACACATGATGTTTTTTCATGGCACAATTTAATTAACTAAAAGATTATAGACAGCTTATCAAAAAATAAAACTGCTTAAAACAAACACACACACAGAGTAGCCATAGACCAGAGTAGAGGGTATGATTCTTTATTCCCACTTGAAATACTGGATAGAAGTTAAAATAGAATACATTTTACCTAAATTTTTGTAACTTTTCAAATTAAAAAAAAACAACTTGAGATAAATAACATTTTCAAAATCTTTTGTGTAGTAATTATGCTTTCTTCAGAATTTTAATAATATGCTAAATTTACCATAAAAATTATAGCTCAGTTATTTGATATATTGTAAAGGTCATCTGTTTCCGTGGCCTATGGTTAACCACAATGTCTGAAAGGGGAACATTACTTTACTTTTACTATTTTACTATATATTATAGTGGCTACTGTTCAATGATTTTCAATTTATTGTCAGAATAATGTACAGAAGTATTTATAGTATACAAATTATTTACTTTCTTATAACTTAACATAAACAAAAAATATATGTATAAATATTTCTTAAGCATTTAGATAATAATGTGTCCCCATGCTTATGATTTCAGAGAGGATGAAGAAGATATCACAGCTTTTCCTGTGGTTAAAGAATCAGGAGACAAGCTAATTGAGTCTGGGATCAATACATTGCAAAAAACACTTCTTCTCAAAAAAGAAGTAGAAATTGATAAAGTTAATGGTCTTTTGGATGCAAAACGCTATGAGTTCAAGCAGAGAATTGACAACTGTGCTCAGCGACAATTACAGCTGCAGAAAAAACAACAACAGGTAATTGAGAATACATTCATGAAAAGTTTCTTTGAATAATTTTTTTAGAATTATTAGAAACCCGCCTTGGTTGTTTGGTATGTGCCCCAAACTGCTGTCATGATGGTCATAGATTCAACCCCAACCACTGTCTCCTGCAGGAGATTACTCCATCAGACTATATCAACGCCACTCATTGATCAGGAAACATGAAAAGGATCAAAATGTATTGTGTGTAGTCCCTCAATGAACTCTTTATGTTGTGTCTGTTCTATTTATGTGAATGTTTCTGTTGTGTTGTCTTTATATGAGAAAAGAGTCCTTGTAATCACAACAAATTTTCATAAGAATCAATAAAGTAGTCTTAGTAATCTTTATTTCTGAAGTCTGAAACTTACTAGTGAAGTGAAGTTATCAGAAAGATAATTTGTAGATTCTTTTCATGGCTAGTTTAGCAGCATCAGATTGTCTGTTATAATAAAACTTAATTATAATTATAAGAATTTAATTGCTAAATCTCTCTAAAGAAACCTCTGTAAGCTTAATGTGATTTTAAAAATCTTACAGACATAATACAGACCTAAAATTTTATACTTACTTAGACTTAGATCCTCCTGCACCATTGGGTGCATTGGCAAGCTGTCTCCACAAAGATCTGTCACTGGCAATGTCTGAAGCCTCTTACCACCTAGTGTCCACTTTTTTGAAGTCCTCCATGTGCGTTGCCAAGTTATATGAGGATGCCCCTGTTTGCACTTTCCTCATAATGGCCTCCATTTCATCGCAACTCTTGGTATGCATAGTTAATTTGGTCCCACAAACCTCATATGATGCTCTGTCACAACCTCACTAAGTGGTTGACTCCCAGTTTGGCATATGATGTCCTTGTTTGAGGTCCGATCTATATTACTGACTCTTAAAATCCTTCTTAGCTATTTTTGTTGAGCCACATTTAGTCTTTTCTCAATTTAGGCAGATGACTTCCATGTCTCACATGCATATGTTGCTGTTGGGATGACGACTGTGTTAAGAAGATGTAGGCCTAGTTTTGTTTTATACATGTATAGAATATTTTTAACCTTATGCCAAAATGAATTGCATACATTTTAAAAAATCAATTCCTTAAAATACAGTTGCTTTCCTACTATTTCTGCACTGATGACAAATATGGTGCCACCTAATACACAATTCTTGTGCCCTCAATGAGAGTATAGAAGGAAGTGTAAAAAAAATATGCTCAATTCATGAATAGGATAAATTCTAACAATTTTTCAAAGATTATAATTTATACATAACCTCAGGTTGCACTTAGTGTTTATTGACGCACAATGATACAATAAGGGAGCTCTCCTCTACTTCTTAGCAGTCTACCCCTAACTTTTTTTTTTATCTTCAAAAGAATTGATAATAATGCCCTGACTTTGCTGATTGCATTCACTTTTTTTTTTTGCACCAAAATAAATTTAAGGCATTTCAGTTTGGCTACTCATTATTTTCCTATGGCCAGTTTTATAAAGGGTCACTAATAAGGAAGATTTTTTTAATAATCTAGATGAAAGATAGAGTTGCCAAGTTTGAAAAGTTTATCCAAGAGAATGAAGCCAAAAGACGACGAGCCATACAGAAATATCAGCAGGAGGTCAGGCAACGGGAGCAAAAAGCACTGGAGTTTTCATCTCTATCAGATCAGTTGGAACAGTTGAAAAAAAGGTAATGTTCACAATGAATAACAAAGGCTCTTTTTATAAGATTACTTACATTTTTTGTAATTCATTTCAATTTACTAGTATAATATTGTTCTGTAATTATTTTTAGGCATAAAACTCTGGAAGCAAAATTAAAAGCTTACAAGATCTTTGAGCAATACCTAAGAAGTGTTGTTGATGCAATGCCAGAAGGTGAATATTTCATATGAAATATATCTAGTAGACTAATTATATCCATGCAGTAAGCAGTGAAAATAAGAAATACTATATTTATACTTCCAATCATTCATAACGATAACATTATAATAGATTAATAATGCATTCCTTTTAGATTATCTCCCTTCAACTGAAGACAAAATTAAGGGACTAATGATGAGATATAGAACATTAAGTGAATCTAACAAAGGTTTAGTGGATAACCTGGAAACTATTTCTGATGAGGTAATTAGGAATATACATAAGGATGATGTAGTATTTAACTTGATTATAACCTCTCATATGTGATTTTTTATATGAATGTCTATTTTTTATCTGTCAGTTGAAGTGTCAAGTGTTTTTCTGTGGGCTTTGCATTTAGGGTACCTTAGAGACTACTAATTTCTATAACATGTAAAAAAGATGCAACTTTTGTCTGTTGGGGGTGGGAAAGTTAGGCAAACTAGCGTACTAGATCTTTAAATTGGAATGTCTACTTTAAAAGAGGTATTTAACTACACAATAGTAGGGATTGTCAGCTGGGGCTGAAAACTTGCTCTTTGTTAATGTAGGATTAGACGGATTAAAAAAAAAAGAAGATAGTATGGGTTAATTATACTAGCCACAACTGACATTCAAATTATGATGGTGTTAGAAAAACTCTAAATAGAAAAAAAAATTGAATCTTATTTTATCCAACACAATAAATCTCCTGGCTAGTATGAAATATTTCCAGAGTCGTGCAAGTTGATTAGAGACTCAAACTCTGCTAAATTTTATTTTATAAATTACAGATGTTCCTTCAAAAGAGAAGATAATCACATCCTACATGGTGGTTGAGTCATAAATCACTTGGCTTTCAAACCTAGAGGTCCTGGGTTTGAATCCAGGTGAAGACTGGGATTTTTAATTTTGGGATCCTTAGGGCGTCTCTAAGAGATTAGCTGGGTAAAAGTAAAGTTGGTTGGCCATTGTGCTGACCATATGACACCCTAATCAACTGTGGGCCACAGAAACAAATCACCTTTACATCATCAGCCCTTTGGTGATCATTTAATGAGATTTGATTTTAGCAAATCATAAATAATAAGAAAAATTACTTAACAGAATACATGTACAATCTCTACTTTCTAAAGATCATTTCTAAACAAATTGTTTTATTAAAAGGTTATTTAAAATTTGATCATTGTAACACATCAGAACATGCTGTCCTTCTAAATTCTGATGCTCTGCATTATTTAGCTTGAAGTTTGTACTATACTAAAAATGATTTCACTAATAATAATTCAAAGTGTGTATTTGTTTTGTTTAGCTTGAAGTTTGTAGGAAGGAATATGAGGTGTTGAACCAGGAGCACCAGAAGAGTCGCCTATCCAATACTTCAGAGTTGTCGCAGTTGTTAGAGAAGCAGGAGGTCCTCCAGAGTAGGACTGAACAGATGGAACAGAACTACAACATGACAAGTGAAGACCTAAGACACAAGGTTAGGCAACTCTTTTGAAACTCTAAATCGTTAAGTAAAAAAAGAAACTTACACAAATGTTATTGCTAATTTTGATCGAATTGAAAGTAAAAGAATTGAAATAGAATTCGGTTCAACTTTGAATGACATTATGGCATACTACATAAAATATTAACTAAGTATTTGTTTCAAAGGTTTTTCCCTTTTCAATGAACATCTGTAATTTAAATTATACAATAACACAAACAATAAATTTAGCTTGCCTGTAAATACTGTAGTGTTATTCCATGTTGACTAGAGAACAGAGGTGGGGATCATCTTTATGGCCATTGATAACATCTATGACAAGTGCAAAAAACCAACAGATCTACCTCTGGGGAAAGAAGATTGGGATCAAAAGCTCAACAAAATCAAAGTAAGTTCAACCAAAAAAGAAGTGAAATTATTGACACTGCATTGGGAATTGTTGATGTATCTATCTGCTTAAACATTGAAAGACCTAAAAAAAACTTGTTTCCATAACAATTGTATTATTAGGCAGATAGGTTTGAAAGATTCTAATTAAGCTTTAGTAATGATGAATGTTCTAAATAAGAAAAATTAATTTTGCATGTGTAATATTGAAGAAAAAATCATATTTAGTGTAATTATTCCCTTTTTTTTTCTGCCTATCTTAGAGAGCTCCTGAATTAATATCAAATCACTGATACTATTTTGATGTGTAGACACCTAAATCAGAGAGGATTTTAATAATAGTAGGATAGAAAATCTTAAAATTATTTTGGAAATGTGTTTGATCCACAGGATTATTTACAAGAAAGAGAAGGGGTTGCTAAAATTGTTCAAAGTGCCACAAATTCTTCTACAGGAAGTAGTTCCACAGAACAAACTAAAGCCAGGGCAAAGGTTAAAAGTGCTTCAAGTTTGAAAGTCACAATAGCACAGGCGCCTAAATAAGAAAACTGATACTTTATTATGCCGTTTTTCAAACTAGTGTAGGGAGGTGTGAGGTCTTCTCAAGGTGGGGCATGACATCCTGAATAAAAGGTTGTTTTTTTTTGGGTCCATTTTTGTTTTCAAGGGGTAAAAAAAGGTATTGTCATTGTAGTTTTCAATACATGTTTATCTGCGAAACATAATACCTAAAAGAAATGGACAAGCTTTAATGAAAATTTAATATGTAAATTTAGATTACAAACATATTGTAAATCTTTATATATATTGTAACCAAAAATTGTTTTATACATGTTTTTTTCTTTTTTTTTTTTTTTAATTACATTTTAAATACCCTTCAGGACCTCACTGTGAAAGCCCACAGGTCTTCAGGCCTTGCAAACACAATTTTTCTGGTTTAATAAATGCTGGATTATGCATGTCAGAGTTAAGACCAAAAAGGAGTTCCTACTCAATGCCAAAATCAATTAAAAAATGTTAAGCTTTTTTGGTATTCTTTACAACTAATGAAATTTTGTAAAATTATTAGATCACCAAAGATCAATCAATAATTTTGTACAATTTGTTCATTTTTTACTAACATTTTCACCCAAATAGCTCATGAAAAAGTGGAAAACAAATCGGCACTTTCATTATAACTCTTATGATTGAATGTACATTTTTTGGTCATACAATCATTTTTTTTTTTGTAATGCTTTAAGTTTTGTACATTTCAATTCTGTTTAGTGATATTTAAACTCTATGTTATTGTGTTTTGATGCAACTAATACAAATGTCTACTTGTGTTCTTTAGTAGCTGCTTATATGTTTAAAGTTTTTTAATAATATTTTAAATCAGGCATTGTCTGTAGTTTTGTTCTATGATGGTTCATGTAAAGACACTGAAATATCAGCCATGACATTAAATGCCAAAGTGTACATAAAGACATAAGCTGGAGCGGATGCATATAATCTAATTGTACTAAGCATTTGATCTGACTGTGATTTCTTTCTTTCTTTGTTTTTTTTATTTACTGTAAATTTTTATTTGCTAAATACATACCATAATATATGTTGTATTTATATGTGAATAAGATTATTTAAAAAAAATAAAAATCAAACGATGAGGTAAAAGAAAACAAAAACATGTCTTTATTATCTCAGATGTATTTATTATTATTATTTTTTTTGGCTTTCATACAAAAATGTGTTTGAAATCATTATTTCAGGTAAACAACCATCAATTTTGTTCTACCGGTGCTATAAAAGATTATCTGAACAAAACAAAACAAAACAATTAGAAACCAATATCACTTAGATGTAAATATCTCTATAATTAAAATGATAGCAAAATTTAAAATTTGATTGCATTCTCTGGTTACAGTCTCTCATATTACAATGTACTCACTAAAGGCTCAATTCAAAGGCAAGAATATTTGTTTGGACAGAATTTCTGTAGTGTAACACATCATTCAAGACATTTTTATATTTGAAACAAGTTGAACAGAATCTTGGCATAGAATCATTCAGACTATGTGATTTCATAACCCTTGAAATGATTCAAATTTAAATTTGAACTAAATATAGTCAAATGTGGTTTTACAATAATCATGCAGAATATGGAAATGATATTTATGAACTATAATATCTAGGTAAGTGTTTGTAATTACTAAGTAAAGTTATTGTTTTTTTTATATTTCTTACATTTTTTAAGTCTTCTAGAGAAATAGCTATGGCCTTTAGCATGATTACTTGCTTTTAAATACCTTTTTAATTCTTTATCTCCTGAATTATTTATCAAGTTCAGGAGAGAATTCATTCTGCCAATTTGTAGTGTGCTACCATGTTAAGATTAAATTAAATAACTTTTTTTGGTTGTTATCAGAAAATGGTAAAATTGCAGAGAAATGAATCCCCTTTTAAAACAATACAATTCGATTTTGTAGAAACAATTATTATTTTAACCATTTCTCTCTGTAATTATTTTCCACAATGGCATTATCCATTTTGTTCATATACATTTCACCAGCCTGTTATGATTATACATCAATATTTTTTTTGTTTATCAGAAAATGTTATATTTAATATAGACTTAATGGGCAATTCACACCTTTTTTTAATTAAAACATATCAAT